TAATCAGGTGCTGATTCCAGCGATTGTGACATCATTGCTATGCAGGTGTCGGAAGGGGGACATTCTGGCAGGGCAGGGCGGCCAGAATTTGGTATGCGATGAAGATTCATGCCATGTCAAGCAACTGCTATGGTGATGGGGGCAGCAGGTGTCAGGTTGGTGTGAATCCGACGATTGGCAGAGTTGGGCGTTATGTGGAAGAGACTCGTGAGTCGGGGTGGCTAATCTATAGCTGTTGCTGCGGCAGTGATCCTCGTATCGTTATTTTGCATAGTGCGGGCATTCTTATCACAAGGCTGGATACCACGGTATTATTGCTCTTGACCCTCATGCATGGGAGGTACGAATGCAGGATAGCTCCTATCACGGTTCGATCCCACTGCGTTGCTCATGGCCTTTATGTGTGACAGGTATGAATGCATTTTAGCAGATCATGTTCTCTGTAAAAGTCTGCCTATCTTGGTTGGTAGATTTTGCTCATCATTTTTGGGAAAACAAATCGAGGGAGCATTGCTGATTACATTCGCCTGTTCAAATGTGTCAGCATTCTAGGTTACAGCTATCCAGCGCTTAAAGTTGTGCCTCAGGGTTGAGTAGGTCGTCTTTCTTTTAAGTGCAGTTTTCGGAGCGCTTTTGGCTGCCTTTTGCCTGCTGCAGTCTCATGATTTATGTGCAGCAGAGGATCTATCTGCTGCTTTTGAAGGCGTGTTGTCAGTATAATAATAATATAATAATAATAATAATGATAGTATAACATTAATAATAATAATAATAGTATATCCTACATCAAGTTGAATATTGGTATTTGATTGACCAGGTAGTTTTTTTTAGTGTAGTTTTCGGAGCGCTTTCGGCTGCCTTTTGCCTGCTGCGATCTCGGGATTTATGTGCTGCAGCGGATCTATCGGCTGCTCAGCATAAGAATCGTAATAATAATAGTATATCCTACGCTAAGTTGGCTATTGGTATTTGATTGACCGTCAACGAGCTTGTAAACTTGGTCAAGATGGTTGTGGGTCCGACTCTGAACATGTACCCTTTATCCAATTACACATTTGGAAGTAAGGATGCAAGAATGGAGAAGGACACCTCAGTGGCTGACCGGCTGTCCAGGATGCAGTATAATTATGCCAAAGAGGGTCTTCGAACAAGCGTCGAAGGGATATTGCTGGTGGCGGAGCACAATCATCCCCATGTGTTACTGCTTCAAATCGGCAATACTTTCTTCAAACTTCCTGGAGGGCGTTTAAAACCTGGCGAAGATGAAATCGAAGGCCTAAAGCGTAAACTAACGAGCAAGCTTGGCCCAACAACTCCTACTGTGATGCCCGTGCCGGAGTGGGAGGTAGGCGAATGCGCAGGGGTTTGGTGGCGCCCCAATTTTGAGACGCTTATGTATCCGTACATCCCCCCTCACATAACGAAGCCGAAGGAGTGCAAGAAACTATTTTTGGTTCCTCTTCCAGAGAAATGTTTTTTTGCGGTGCCAAGGAATTTCAAACTGCTCGCTGTGCCGCTGTTTGAGCTTTACGATAATCCCCTCAACTTTGGACCAGTCTTATCTGCAATCCCACAGCAGCTCTCTCGCTTCAATTTCAACTTCATTAATTCTTGATTGCAGATCTTGTGGAGGGGACTTTCACTAGTCCACCTGCTAGCTTGTATGCGACATTTTGTCGAGGCTTTGCCGCAAGGACTAGATTAGTCTCTGACTCTTAAGAGTTGGAACTTCATCAATTCTTGATGATTGCAAATGTTTGCTTTTGGGGGGTGGAGGGGGGGCTTTCTCTGATCCAGCTGCTAGCTTGTTAGCGGCATTTTGATAGGGTTTTGCGGCTAGGACTAGACATTTTTAGTTTTAGAAGTCGTCGTGGCTTCATCAACTCTTGATGATTGCGCGTGTTGGGGTGGCAGGGGGGGGGGCAGCTACAAGCTTGTATGGGACGTTTTGCTGCTAGGACTAGATTAGTCTTAGAAGTTGTTGTCGCTGGTACGCGTTGCTCGCTTCTATTTGTTGCTAGCTAGGTAGGTAGAGAGTATCCGTCGCTGTTCCTTCTTTCAATTGGGGTGAGAGCAGAGCAGGCAAACATTCCTGTGGTCTTTTTTTTCATGGCTTTGGAGCTGATGTCAGGTGTTTGCTTTGACGTTTGACTTACTGTGCTTGACACGTTAGGCAATTCGTTTTCAGCCTTTTCAGCGACGAAAATTGTTAGGCCTGGCCGGGCCTGAGGGTTATGTGCAGGCAGGTCTGGTGCCCAGGTCACCTGGGCGTGAAGAAAACCCAGTTTCTTTTTCAAGGTTTTTGTTTTTTATTTTCTGGCGAGTGCCACTTGTCTGCCCTTGGCCTGAGGGGCTCAAATCCAGGGTCTTTCCTGGTTTTTGTGTACACTGCTGGGGGGCCGGGGGATGAGCGAAGTGGGAGAAGGGAGGTGAAGTGGGAGGAGGGAGGCGATGGAGAAAAGGGGGACGACGGTGGAGAAAAAAGTTGGGAGGAGGGCGATAGTGGGATCCAGGAGGCGATGTGGGAGGACGGAGGCGAAATGGCACGAGGAGGCAAAGTGAGAAGAGGAAGGCAATGGGGAGGTGGAGGGGGTGATGGTGGAGAAGGGCGATGGTTGGATGGCAATGTGGGAGGAGGGAGGTGAAGTGGGAGGAGAGGTGAAGTGGGAGGAGGAAGGTGAAGGAGAAAAGGGGGACGATGGAGGTGGAAGAGGTGATGGTGGGATCAGAGAGGCGACGTGGGAGGAGGGAGGTGAAGTGGGAGGAAGGCGAAGGAGAAAAGGGGGACGATGGGGGTGGAAGACGTGATGGTGGGATCAGAGAGGCGAAGTGGGAGGAGGGAGGGGAAATGGGAGGAGGGAGGTGAAGTGGGAGGAGGGAGGTGAAGTTGGAGGAGGGAGGTGAAGTGGGAGGTGAGGTGAAGTGGGAGGAGGGAGGTGAAGTGGGAGGAGGGAAGCGAACTGGAAGGAGGTAGCCAGCCGGTGGAGGGAGGAGGGAGGGAGGCGATGGAGAGGAGCAGGTGATGGCCTCTCCCTCTCAAGTAGTACCAAACACTGCGAAGAAGAAGAAGAAAAATAAGGATGAGGAGCTCACAACACCGTCGCTTGCGCCATGGCGTCCCTCCCTCCCTCTCTCTCTCTCTGCGTTGCCTTGTACTAGGCTTGCAGTTGACAATGGCTGCAGTCTGGCATCCGTCCGTTGGTGTCCCCCTCCCCCACCCTGACTATCTGTGGATATGGGGCTCACGAGTAAGGAGGAGGAGGAGGTGGAGGAGGAGGACGTTGCGACACATGCACACACACACAATCTGGGGTGTTTTAAAACAACACAAGGAGGAGGTGGAGGAGGAGGTTGCGAGACACTCGCACACACACAATCTGGGGTGTTTTAAAACAACACACACACACACACACAATCGGGGGTGTTTTAAAACAACACACACACACACACTCACACACACACACGCGCTCACACACACACACACACACACACACACGCACGGACTTACCTGGCAATGGCGGGCTTCGGGCAAGCGGGCGTCGGGCAGAGACGATGGCAGTTTCCTTTGAAGAATCGTAGCACGATTTTGCACTGGCATTCAAAGTGGAATGCCCACCCGAAATCGCTGCACGATTTTTCCCAAGCGCGAGGCTGGTAGAGCCTCCGTGCAATTTATTTTTCAGAGTCTGTGGGCCCTGCGGAACCCCTACGGTCCCTCAGGCCCGTTGCAAGGGCTTGTTTTTTTTTTTTTGTGTGTTGGCGCTAACAGTGCCTGGCGCCCCGCCTGGGCATCATCCCCTGCCGGGCACCTGGGTGCCTTCCCGGGCGGGGTCTGCGTATCCGGGCGCCTGGGATTTCACCCTAGCTTTTCAGACCATTAAGAAATTGCGAAGTGTGTCCCTTGGGCGATTTTTTGATGGTTTCGGGGGATGTTGCGATGCTGATCCTGTTTCTTCGAAGAAATAACTTGATGTTGGGGAGAATATAATATATATTTCGCTGTTGTTTTTACTTTTGTGAATTCCCTCTCCTGAGTATCCTCTTCTTTTGTTACCCCTCAGCTCCATTATCGAACAGGTGCAGAAGCAATTGGAAGAACAGGGAATGGCCTGCATCCAGGCCTGGATCTGTCCAGATGCAGTGCCATGATCCCTCCCTCTTCTATATTCTGCGTTGTGAATTGTTCGATATTGTCCTCTATTCAATGTTGTTGTCTTTGGATATAGGTTTTCTGTGTTTGAGCCTTTTAGGATCAGCAAGAAGTGCGGCGACCTTCCTCTCTGTAAGCCATCACTGCCGCGTCATCTTCCCCCCCCCCTAAAAAACTTGATCGTTTAGCTGGGCCCTGTCTTGCCAAACCTTGCGCCCTATAGCTGCAAGAGCCCTGTCTTTTGACGGCCGTTTGTCCTTGCCATCCTTGACTGTACCGTGTAGGTTCATGAATGGCAATGGTTTCTGTTTTTCTTTCCATGGCCATTCATGGTCCCCTCTGCTGGGCTGTGACAGGATGGCCCATATTTTGCCCTCGCAGAGTAATGTGATCTGGGAACACATGGCATAGTAGGGATGTCACCTCCTCTGTAAATCACTACCATTCTTTGGGCTTTCCCGGCAGGGTCAGGTTCTGCCTACCCCTAAGTGTATTTCGTTTTCAACTATGCGCTGCGGTTTGCAGACAGAATGCACTCCTTTCTCCTCGTAGCTTTGCCGCCTCCCCCTCCCAACTTCCACCTTGGGCAGCAACATCCCTCATAGCTCTTCAATTGGTAGGGTGCAAAGGCCCTGGCATGCACTCCAGTTTTTGAGTATATTTGGTATGTGTCTTGACTTGGTAGGCCCGCTGTAGTGAAACAGCCGAGGGGTCCGGGTTGAACGGCTTGCATAGCTGACACTCGTTTCCCTTCAATGGGGTTGGGACTCGGCCATGGCTCTCCGCCTTTGATTTGCAACGGTCTGGGTGAGTTACCGGCCCTGGGCTGGGGCCGAAATCGTATCCGAGTGGTGGCGTGCCCCTTGATGAAGGATCACAAGGACTGGAAGTTCGAACTGATACGTGATTGCACAAGACATGTCTTGACCAGGTAAGGACTCCTTGCTCTTGATTTTTTGTTCATGCATTTTTTTGCTGGTACTCCTTGACTTTGCCCGAAGTTCACTGTATTTCCCTTCAGACCTCTTGGTGCCGACTGAATCCTGGCAATAGAAAAAATGGGGTTTGTGTCGTGATAGACTTTCCTGCCAGACTAACGGGCCTACCTCAGTTGGTACGCCCTTGAACTATTGAAATACAGCCCTAAGTTCGGGTCCAGATGCAAGGGGATGAACAGAACAAAATAATTTCGAGTTACCTTGGGCCAGTCAGTTTAGTGATGATATCTCAAGCTGTTTCCCTTTTAAGGAAGACAACAGAGAGAAAAAGAGAGAAAAAGAGAAAAAGGGAACGAAAAAGAAAAGGGATTTTCATTTTCTGAGATTCTCTGTAGTACCAGCATGAAGATGTGTGTGGTGGGTGGATTGGTTTGCACTGTGTCTTTCTTACGAACGAGGCATGGTCACAAAGGTATCCCTTTTTTCTCCCAAAAAAATCACAATGGGTTTTACTGTTCTCTATTGACTGTCAAGGTTGAAGAAAAGATTTGCGGCAGATCACAGATGCTTCAACTGACTTAGGTCTCTGCTGTGCCCGGTTGACGTGCTGGAACACAAGGTTGTTGCTGGAACTGCGTGAACCAGGTCATGGTTAAGGCCACTGGTTCATGCCAGTTGAGATGTTTGACTATGATATGAACCGAAGACTTTTGCATGAACCAGGTCATGGTTAAGGCCACTGGTTCGTGCCAGTTGAGATGTTTGACTATGATATGAACCGAAGACTTTTGCATGAACCAGGTCATGGTTAACACCACTGGTTCATGACAGTTGAGATTTTTAACTATGTTATGAACTGAAGACTTTTGCCCAGTGTCAACCTCCATGTTTTTGTTTTGTTTTTGTTTTTCGCTTTGGGCTCGACTCAGGTTCTTCTGAAATAGTGGGTGTGTAGCATTTTCGTGCGTTCCTTTCTTTTTTTTTGTTGACCCTTATAAAAGACATACATAGCCAGCTGTAACAGGTGGTTTGATTTAACACCCGAGCCCAGCAGAACTGTCTCACTGTATCCATATGCAGTGCAGTGAGGACAGCTCGTTGGGGGTAAAAATACTAAAAATCTGATGTAGCGATGCTTATTGTGGGCAAGAATGTGGTTGAGGATTGGAGTAGCATTCCCATTGAAAGAAAACTGGCTACCTGTAGAAGTCTGTACTGGGACCTTTCTCGATGAAGATCCCTCAGTGAAAATTATGAAGAAATTGTAAATGGAAGGGACTTTTATTGATCCGTACACATGCATGTCATCTTTGTGCAGGGTACAAATCTTCTCTGTATCTTTCCGATTTTAACAGATGTCGGGAAGGAAAGTCGAGCAAAATTTTGCAGCAGATCATGAGTGTTTCTGTCGAGCTGACCTTTGCTATGCCTCTTGACCTTTGCTCAAACGTCCATCGCAGACATGCATGTTATTATAGAGCCTTCAGTTGGTTCCTTTGAATGTCGTCTTTTTTTGTTTGCTGGAAGTTGCTGGTGCTGTTGTTGGATGGTCAGGGCCCAGCGGTGAGGGTTGTCTGTATGTGTTCTGAGCTAGACGCTGTTTGCTGTCTTTGATTTTGTTCAGCCCCTGTAAAGAAAATACAGGCATCTTTCGGAGCAGAGCTGTCTGCTTTTGCCCCGCGCTTCAGCTCAGCAGATCTGCATGGCTGTACCGGAGTGCTTCCCTGCATTGCCTGCAGTGAGGAGGTCATTAAATGACTAGAGTATTGCTGCTCTGGAAAGCGTATGCTGATCGAGGGGGCTATCAAATGGCAGAGGAAGGATAGCGTATCCGAGGAAGACAACTCCCTGTGAACTGTAGGACAGTTCATCTTGAGAAGAGGAAGGACGCATTGTGAATGCATGCGGCTGGTCCACAGTCGCACGCTAGTGCAGGACTATTTCTGGAAACGAGGCAGGATTTGTTGGAGCTGGCTATCAGTTAGTTTGTAATTCTTCATCGTCAGACTTGTGCAGGTACTCACATTACTTTGCATTTGGAGCCATCTGCTGCCTTTGCTGGGACATGGCAGACAAAGACGAATATGATTCGGAGGACGATTCGGATTTTGAACCTGGAGAAGAGGGGAACACGGAGGGTAAATCAACCGTGGTGAAATCCAGCAGTAGATCGCGTGTTAAAAGTCTGAGCCGCAGAGATACGGAGGGTGCGGTGCATGCACAGGATCGGAGTCAACCTTCGGAACCCTTGGCTGACCTGAAGGCCACTGCGAAGAAGGCCAAAATTAATGCGATATGGGAGCAGCTCAATGCATCCACAAAGAAACCGCCAGACTCGCGGAGGATGGCTGGGCTGGGAAGCATCATGGTGCCTGTAACAACACGGGCGACAACAGGAGGGTCATGGCCGCCGTCTCATCCCTCTGAGCGGGAACGATCTTCCACCAGTGGCTCGAAGGCTGGCAAAGCTGATGATAATGTTGAGGTGGTAAATGGCCGATCCCAGCAAAGTGATCTGCAGGACGGCAGGAAGCCGAGGCAGCAGGACAAGCAAGAAGCTGTCGGGGCGGGGAAGGAGCCAGTCAAAGCTTCTTCCTTGGAAGTTGCCGCATCGGCCCTGGCGGCCGCCAAAACAGCATTAGCTCTGCCTGATGCTGCTACGAAGGAGGGAAAGGTTCAGGTCAGAGAGGTTTGTGATTTTGCGGGTGAGCAGGTAGTGATTAGCAGGATGGTAGACCCAAAGTCAGCGGCGACAGTGAAGCGGAAAGCTGGGTCGGAGTCTACGTCGCAGCTGGATGCCTTGCTTCAGTCTATAGAGAAGAAAAAGAAGTTGAACATACTAGACAAGTCAAGAAAAGATTGGGGCGAGTTTAAGGATGACAAAGGGTTGGTTGAGGACTTGGAAAACTACAAGAAGAGCGGCGACAAGTATTTGGATAAGGTGGCATTCTTGAACAGGACCGAGTTGAGGGAGTTCGAGATTGAGCGGGATATGAGGATGTCAGCGAGGAGGCGTTCTGATGTGTCCTCGTCGAAACAGGATTAGTTGATAGCTTGCCCTGGCTTGCAGCCCACCTAGTCGTAGTGGTCCCAAACACTGCCACGCAATCCCATCCCATGTTTGTTCAGAACGCCAAGCATTGGGGGCAGGTGCCCTGATGATGAACAGATGACCGGTCAGCGCTGTTTTGATTGACTGACATGTACAATATATGGGCGCCGTTGCATCTGGCTGTTATATACAACGTCTGGGAATGGCTGTATGTTGGGGCAGTACAATATATGGGGCGCGGTTGTATCTGGCTGTTATAAACAATGTCTGGGGATGGCCGTATGTTGGGGCAGCACAGCGTACGGGATATCATGGATGGTCTGGTATCATTGAAGAATTGAAGAAACAAAGGAATGTCTTTGGCTGCCGAATTGTTAATGGTGGTGTAGTGTTACGGCAGGAAGTGCAGACTCCATGCTCCCAGTAGATGCGCATACTGATGATGATCACGTAAAACTGTAAAAACTGACAATTTTTTTTATTTTATTTTATTTTTTCCGAAAGCGGAGGAGGCTGGGTGGCGAGGGGACGATTGCCTGGATGATATTGGCAGTCTGTTCTTCCTGGGTTTGTATGCAAAATGTGGGGCCACCAAATTCTTTTTCCGTGCTGTCTGGAAAGTAGGTGCAGTGTGTCGGGAAGTCAATTACAAGAACCACAGGCAAATGTGCATAATTTCTTCTATTTGTGAAGATGTCAGTCAACATATGTATGTGCATCATTTTGTCTATTTGTGAAGATGTTCTCTCCCAATCAACCCATGTATTCATCATCGTTTTGTCTATTTGTGAAGGTGTTCTCTCCCAATCAACCTATGTATTCATCTTGAAATTGAATGTTCTTTTTTTGGGGACCGTGTTTGGAGTGGTGTGTGTTCTTGGAAGATCTACTCAATGTGATTTGCTTTCGTGCAATGGATGATGACGCTGCCGCTGCTGCTGATGATGATGACGACTTCCAACATGGGTGATACACCCACTTCGAAAGAAGAAGAAGAAGAAAAAAGAACAAACAAAAAACAGGAATATCTGTGGTCCTGACACCCATGAGAACTTGATGATGGACGTTTTGCTTAGCCTTCTGAACGAAACACACAGTCATTGCTGCATCTACATCAGAGGCAGATGTGACGCACCCAGTTCTTGTTGGGCCAAGACTCGATATCCAGAGCCGCTACTGTGCTATGTGATGCAAGTACCCTTAGCCCTCCCGCTGGCGACTGACTCATCACGAGGCAGTAATAGTTTGAGGCCTCTTTAGCATTCGCTCTCCCCAATAAACTGGTCAACATCTCCTGCTATCCCCACGGAAACTTCGGGGAGCGCAGTCATAGTCTGAGGCCTCTAATGATTTCACTCTACCCAACAAACTGTTCAACATCTCCCGCTATCCCCATTGAAGGCACTGGAGCAGATGATGATAAGTCAGTCGCACTGTCTGCTGTTCTGGGATTGGAGCTGCATCTCAACGGAACCCAAAATTTTTAACTTCCCTCCTCTATGTCTGGACATCAGTTTACAAAAATGCATTTCTGGCGGTCGTAAGTGATAGAAAAATGTGCAAGAGCACCTAAGCTGTCACATGCATCCCATATGCATGAGACACAATCCCTGGGCATCAGCACTGTATCATACACAACTTGAACCATAAGACCATATGTTTGGCGACCAGATCAACTCCACATCAAATCACCCCTCTCTAGCCAACCTCAGAGGGACGGCAATCAGTTCAAATCCTTGTCACTCGGCCCCTCTCTGCCAACCACGGACACAAAGGTAACTCCCAGTTCCAAATGGAGAGGAGTCAGCCCCACGAGCTATTGAGGCACCTGACAGAATTCGTGGGTATAGCAATCAATCGGGCCCTGACACAGCAGGTCAAGCAACTGAGGACCAGTACAGATATTGATGAAAACAGTCTTCCTCACGTGCAGCTAAGCTCTCCACTGCCATCTCTCCGTTAGCACGATCCTCCCCCATGCAAAACAACCACAAAACA